ATTGAACGTTATCCCATGTATATATTTCAATGGTTAGTTAAATATGTAAAACCAATTTTAGCATACGGTATGATTGTAAATATGATTATGAATGAGAAATCCCACATACGCGAAATTTATTTTCCCACAATTACAGAGATTTTCTGTTATTAAGTAGTCCCTCCATGAATACTTTAAATATTGTACTGATAATCATGGATATAGTAGTCATTTCGTACATAACTACTGCTTGTTTAAATCAACTTTATTTAGTCTTTGAAGTGACTTTCGGATCAGCAATGGTTTTTGGGTTGACCGGGATTAGGAAGAGGATAATGGGTTGTTGTATCTCTAGTATGTTGAAATTGAAGCCAATGGTTTCTTATCACACATATAGAATCAATAAGCAGGGTATTGTGTTTATAATTTTATTCTCTAAGATTAGTCTTTTAGAACACATGAAACTTCATACTAAGGTTCTACGTTTTGTATTATAAGTTACATACCCAGCAAAGTTATACATATAATAATGATTGTTTTCAGTCTCCTAGTTGCAAAATATTCCAAGTAACTAATTTAGCCAAATACTGAGTAGGTCATTTGACTGACTTACAATGAATATGAATCGTGCTACGAATATTCAATAAAAAATGTAAAGATAATTTACAGATTAAACAACACTATTTTTAGATCATAGCTGGCAATAAAATTCACGGTGTAAGTTTCATTCTATTTCTAACACATCAAATAGATTTACTTGGATCTTCATAATGAAATCTCAATCCTGTGTCTACCACCCATTCGAATAATTAACATCACGTTGACTAGACATGTAAGTGGCTTTTTCTTTAGAGTAGCAGTGAATAAATTCTATCATCAGTGCAAATATCAACACTTAGATTTCAGTACATTCATACGATGAGACTACAAAAGACCAACTGTTCGTTACTAACCCCACTGAAATGTAAAATATAAAACATTTAACTACATTTAGTACTTAAGAATCTTCGGCTTCATCAAATATCCTAAAAGAGATCGATCAAAATTTTAATATTGAATATTAACAACGTAAAAAACTCAATCACTTATGAATAATAAATAAAATTATTTCATATTCATAGTTCCCTTTTTATTAGATTAGAAAGATCAATAACGATGATTTGTGTTGAATAGTATAGATTCATGAGTACCATGCGGTTTTCATACAAAAATTTGACAAAAACATCAAAGGCTATTTTAACATCTCCACAGTAGGAAAATAGATAAGTCGGCGGCTTAAGCAGGTCGCTAGGCCTAATAACTAGGAGAAAAACAAACCATATCAAGTACATAATTATGCAATGTATCAGAGAAAACATTAAATATTAGCAGTAATAAACAAACTAGTTTGTGAATTATTTATATATATATATGTATTTCTTACTAGAAATGGGAATAGTTCTTTGAAGAAATACTTATATGTCGATTGATAGTTTTTTATACATAGCGCATAGAAAAAGGGAAACAGTAATTTTACCGTTTTAATAACGAAAAGAGGAATATATTTGGTGCACATCAGAAATTCGTTTGAAGAACGTATTATTATTATTAACTTGACGGACTTACAATAAACAATAACGTGTTATAGTTTTATTCTCGATGAACCTCTTCAAATTGGTTAATGGTAACACTTATACAAAAAATTTTGAAAATATATGTATCTATACTCATTGTAAAATATTACTTGAAACGGTCAGGAAGTTCTTGTACTAGAAGGTGTAACATCAAATTATTTTAATGTAACAGGTTTAGATAGTAAACAATATTGAAAAAAAGTAAACGTTTCCTTCTTTTTTATCATAAGATATATGCAACACCATGATTGCAAAATCCTTCTTTTTATGTGTATATGTATGTGGTGGTGTCCAATTTATCTAAATGCAGCCATGATTTGGTTATCTATTGAAGTATGAACACTTTTGATGCGGGTAAATCAAATATAGTCTTAAAATAATGAAAAAACCGATGAAGTAATTTCAAAGGATAGAAGCTAAAATAGTGTGAATTAATTCAATATAGAGTACGATGTTGTTTGCTTTATGCTTTTAATCACTAAGTAACACAATGAAATGAAACGAAAAGTTTTCTACTATCTAACAGATATGCTCAAGTGTAAGAAATTCTAAACATTGTTTACAGATGATAATGTAAACCTCTACCACAGTTTAGAAATTGTGTTGTTCTGTAGTAAACATTAATCAAAGAAATCAATTGTGACCTGTATTGAGTAGTAATTAATTTCAAGTTAAATGGTGGGAGACAATGTCTTGGATGCAGTGAATCTATTTTGCATAACATTTACCACTAATGAACAAAGTGTATCTACAATTCTGAGGAAAACTGATACATTTTTGTACAATTTGAACCATTATGCATTAGTGTTAGTTGTAGAGACAATATTACTGCAAATATTACTCACTACAAGCTTTAATATGACTCAAAATAGAAAACGCATATTGCAGCAACGAGACAAATATTGTATAGTATACAGATACAGACAAGCACACATGGCATGTATAAGCGTAGAATTACAAAGACATAAATGTAAGAGGTATGATATTGAAGGTCATAATTTCCTGTGGATAGAGTACTGTTATTAGGATAATAAACATGACTCAAACAGTCACATGCTGTCTGAGTCATTAAAGCCTATCGAAAAACTAGGATGAGTCACGCGTGTACCATATGTTAAGAGCGTGGATTCTAACAAAATATTACATTTCAGGGAAAAAGTAGTTACTCGAGTGTAAGGTTATCTCATCAACGCAGTCTCGTTTTATTTCCCATCATCATTGTTATCAGCACATCAATATGCAGTAAATACCAACACGGATCCAAATCCCTCACGTACCACTCGGCCTTGGACTGGTACATCTGCATAAAGCAGTATGTCATTTTTCCTTGCTAAAAATTTATTCTGGTGTTTTGGATTTATCAGGAGGAATTGACGGTGGAAAATGTCAGTTTCTTTAATTCATTTTAGTCATTTGATGGGCGGTATTTGTAACGGATTCACATGAGCTTTAGGCTTGAAGTGTTGACATCAAAACAACATCAAAAGAACCGTTTCTACTATAATATATCATAATTTGTACTTTAGTAAACACTTTAGAGAACACCTCAATTGAAAAACATTGATTTATTATATCAAAACTTCATTTTATACGAGCTATCATGAAAAGCTCTTAATAAATTCAATGAAAGTACAAAATGGTTGACTTTCTCTACAAATTATAAACATGTATAGTAAGCATAAGCAAATTTTTCTTTATTTAATTGGCAAAGATTCATGTAGGTAATTTAATTTTCCCGAACTAAAATCAGTAACACATTGTCCATCTCCATGTAAAATCCATTTAGTTGTTAATAGTCCTTCAACTCCAACTGGTCCGCGAGCATGAATTCTCCCTGTGTTTATGCCAACTTCAGCACCTGTTTTTAAAAATTAAGACAGTAATATCTATATTTTGATTTTAATAGACATAATTCACATGGTAAAACAATCATTCAATGAAACACAATAATCTTCACAACCTCATCGTGAAAAGAGGTTTACTCAGATTGAATTTCAAGATTACTGGACGTTGTTTCGATATCGCTAAATTTGTCCAACAACAATTCTTATGTTTCAATTACAGTGCTTGGATTTATTTCATTTCAAGCCATTCAATTATTTTCTCAGTCCGGATATACATACTTCCATAGGAACGGCAAGATAACCTTAGTGTTGAGTGAGTTAAAACTAATGACTTATAACTAACTGGTTGTATTAAGCAGATTTCCATGTCTCATTCGTATTAATTGGAAATTGCTTAATGGATATTGTTTTTACGATATAGCGTTGATTTTATTTTAATTATCACTCCACGTTAAGGAACGACAATAAGCAGTCAAGATCGAGGTCTACAGTACAAGCTGTGACTGATATGTTGAGAGATTCGAACACTTCACTTCTACCTGAAGTTTGTGCTGATGATGTTGTTCAGAAGAAGAATGAAATCTCCACGACCGAACCATCCAGCTTAGAGAACGAAACTCTAACTAGAACAACGTTATATTGGATTCGCCTCTTGATCTAACCAAAATGTACAATAAAATCGTAAAAACAATAGTTCACTTCACTGATTATATTTAGATACATGTCACATACTTGATTTGTACGTAATGTGGAAGTACTACTATATATATATATAATGCAGTAAACATATATACTTACCTAACCCAAATCGGTAACCATCAGCGAATCTTGTACTTGCATTGTGAAAAACGCATGCGCTGTCTGTTTTTTGAAGAAATATTTCGGCTGTAGCTTCTGGATATTCAAAGAGAAAAAAGTAAGCGTTATATAGTTAAGAATTTGATTTAGTAACTATCTGACAGATAAGTCAGTTCAATGGATATATTAGAGCATGTTAGATATTTACAGTGTCGTCTATTTTGATTCAGATTAATGCGGAAGAAATGGTATTCAAGAAACTATAGCTTCGAAGCAGATTTTTAAATCCGTTATCACGAAATTCATACGAAGGTTAAATTTCTAGGTACCTTTATTTGAAAATCATTCAACAATCAGTGAATCTTCATTTATTGATAATACAAATGGTTTGCGTAAAACAAATATAGTCCAACATAGTGATAGATTACATGATTAGATAAACTCTGCTCTAGCTAATTGACATGCTTTATATTCTGCCGTTTTGTAATTCATATATTCAAAAGAAACAATCCACCAAGCCGGTACAAGTCATCAGTGATATAAGAACGTTGATGATCTTAGTTTTGTGGATTGCGTTATTTATTTTATTATTACTTTCAGTATTCAATGTTTCTTTACTGAGTCATTACCCGCCTGGAGTCCCCCCGGGGGCTACTGCCGGTCGCAAGCCCAGATAAAGGAGGAGGGTTGGGCATGGGGTTAGCGACCCTGTCCCTTAGAAAACCAACCCGCTAAAAAAACCCTAAACAGAAAAAATTATTCAAACGGAATAATTCACGTATGCAATTATTTAAAAACGTTGAACTAAAATTTATTTTAGGTCAAAATGTGAGTTTATCAAAGGTTAAACATTATGAATAAAAGCATTGATATGTAAAGATAACCTTTCAGATATATCTAATATCACAATACTAAGAATACAATTCCATTATGAATAAATGTTTTGCAGACTTCCAGTCATTAGTTCTAACTCACTAAAGACGTCAATTTCATCTAGCAATTTCAACTCATATAGAATAACCGTGGCTTACAGGCATTTTGCTAAAATCTTTATTTGGATTTATTTAGGTGTATTCAATTACTTGGGCGAGAAATAGTGGAACTTATGAATCAGGTTATTAAACTAACATGAATGTAACTAACAATCAGGTGTAAAATCAATGCGAAATACGTCTGCATCAATAATATAGATTATTTTTAAACCTATAGAGTAGTAAACATATATTTCATTTAGTTAAAAAGTTATCAATGATGTGCTCTCTGTCACAGCTTGTATAGACAGTTACATCCACCACGTGAAACGACTATAGTCAGTATTTTACATTAGGTATTTTTATATAAATAAAGTGTGGTCAGAGTTTTAACGTAGCGGATAACGGTGATTTTCAGAGATTATTATTCTATCGTTTGTCTTAGATAGATATGGCTTCATTTGTTTGGTTCAAAGATTTCAAATAAGTACAGGTCATCATCTAATATCTTACCGTTTTAGAAGCTTTAGTAGACCTTCCTCAACAATATTCAAACAACTTAATCGATAAAAGTGTTACACTCTTGTTCTCATCAGAAGATTATTATTACTTTGTGTATTTAGCAGTTTTCTTTTAAAATGAATTGCATGACTATTATTGTTCACATATTAATCTCTCTAAAGTGTTAAGTAGAGATCAGATACCCTTAACTTTGAGATATTTCAAACAAATCTACTAACCAACATCCTTGATAAACTCTTCTAAAAGCTATCCATCTGCTTGTAACAACATGTTATTAACTGCAATCAACTGTTAAATATGCAGTAAAATGGGTTTTAATCTTGAATTAAACAGAGAAGGGATCACTGATTATGCTGATTAGTTAAATTATATTGGTATTAAAGACTAGATACTATGATCAGTGTATGTAAATTTCTAAGATTTGTTACAATTTGGTCGTTAGTCAAATCTCTTCGAGCTGTTATTTCTGACTCTGACATCAAGTGAGACAGAATACATCTCAGGACGAAAACCAGATTCTTCAGGAATCCATATGAACTTATCTAATGAGTACCAAGTAAAGTGAAACATGAACTTACAAACTTTCAAAGACTTTCTCACACTTAATATATTGACTAACTTCTAGTAGTATACTATTAATCGATGACTTTTTTGGAAACCACGGATATGGTTGTAGATAGTGTTTAACGAATCCCATAGGTAATATTAAGTCGATGAATTTTGTTCTTCCAATTAGGATCAAATGCCACTCATATTAGAGATTGTCCATCAGTCATACTATAAAATAAGCCCCTGAATTGTAGATTTAATTCATAATACGAAAGTATTACCGTATTTGACTGTCAGTAAATACTGAATATTCTATGAATTATTTATCATTACAACTCATATAATCTTTTTGGTCACTTCTACGTTATCTAATGAAAACACTATCTTTAGTCAATAAGCTCGAAAGGAAACCTGTGGTAATACTGTCCTTTCTTCATATCATCAGTTTGACAAGTTGAAACAAACCCAATTAAATATTTATCTTACTTGTGTAGTCGCTTGCTAAATAAAGCAGAATTCTAAATTTTCTGTTTAATGACAAATATTAAATGCGATTTTGAAGAAACTTAGTTCTTCCGAGTATTTGGATTCATATCATTCACTGTTACAACCAATCAATTAACTGACTAGTCAGTAATTTCCAAGTAAAATAAACCTAGGATACAGTTGAATGTACGAAATAATTATAATTCTACAATGATTTTAAATGTTAGGATCCTTACTTTTTCAAACTGCGGAAGTATAACGATCAGGAAGCTATTTAACACGATATATTAACTCGACTTGTGTGCTCAAGAAAGATCTAAACGCACTAAACAGCACACAAGATGGATTTAAATGGGTTTTTTCTGGTTAGTTCGAAAATCATATTGGACTCCTTAACTGATACATTGCAAAAAAGAAAAGCGCAAAAAATCAAATCAGTTACATTACAACTAAAAAATTAGCTGAACCGTTCAAAAATTAATCTTTATAAGACTAAGTATTCCTCTCTGACTTTAAGCTATCACAGAAGTGTATAGATTTTAACCATCTGGGTTACTTTTCGAGACAAAATATTTTCATGAACAGGGTATCACTCATTTCAGATTGTTCAAGACATTTACAAGTCTTATCATTATCAGTCAAAGATATCAGTATAATACAACAAAGTTAAATTGGTCGACTATTTTTAAACGGTTAAAATGTTTACTTTCGATATATACTAATGTTTTGGATAGATTATTTTAACTCATACAATTTCATAGGGTATGAAGTGAAATTGCTTATCTTACTGTCTTCCGTTACAATCGATTCAGTATGCGCACTTCCATACGATCCAATATACTCGATAGCTTCATCTACGCTTTCTACTAATTCTACAGTACATTCTAGATCACCATATTCATATGATAAATTCTTTGCTGGTTTCATTTCATCTGTTAAATTTTGACCTAAACGTATCATACCTGGTCCAGCATACAGTTTCACCTGAGGAAAAGAACAAAGTAAATAACAACCATACTGAAACAAATGATAATTTAAGTTATCAAACACTAAACTGATAATTGGACAACATGTAACAACATTTATTCAATAAAATGAAATGGCGCTTTCATCACACAGATCGTTGATGAGCCTCATTTTGTGATGAAAAAGCTGCCTAGTACTGCCTGATTATCAGTGATTATCTAGTTGCTCCTTGTGCATGATGAAGGCCAACCTAATACTTTATAATGTTTATCATTTTATCTCTGGTCTGTCATTAATTAAACACAAATTTTACCTTATTTGATACTTACTTTATGATCTCGTAAATGATTACATAACCTTTCCAATAAGCCTGATTCAGCATGTGATTTATGCACAAGTAAAGTTTCCATTGCATTGCAAGCTGATGGATAATCACATTTTGAGTCAATAACTAAAAAAAAACATAAGAGAAGACAAATAAAGTCACAGTGAATATTCATGTAGTTCATACCTGCTTTGAATTTTATGCTTTTAAGACAAGGTCCTGGGTTTGAATTCTATTCGCGGGATCTTGGATGAGCACTGCTGAGGAGTTTCATACTAGAACGATACGGTCTTCCAGTGCTTCCAGGTTTTCAATGACGGTTTAACATTGATCGATTCATGATCTTAACCAAAAACTCAATGATCTCCGCAACCCCATACTGATGATAAAGCGTAGTTGATGATTGATGCATTTAATTTTTGAATGACACGTGTTGCTGGTAAATTATGCCAGCTTGATCATCTTAATTTATATAACTGAAAACTACTCACTCCATTTTTGACTGATATCAATCTTGTACTCAGATAGATTAAGTTGAGCTAATAAAGTATTTTGAATCAGCTAAACAACGTCATTAGACCAAAGTTAAACATGTTGAAAGAAATCACATTTTGTTGGTTTGGAGACAGAACTTCACCATACTGTCGAGTCAGTGATAGGTATGGAAAGTGACGCAATGTGATGAAGGATGTGTCTCCTGACTGGTCAAACAGGTTAAGATCCCAAGGTCTTTCGGAGATATAGTGTGGTGCGTGCTACTTATATTGATATAAGTAGTATATAACGTGAGTCGAAAGAACGTAATGTCTGGCAGCAGAAGACGGAGAAGATCAAGAAAAGAAGAGCGAAAAAACAATGGAATTTGTTAGAAACTGCATGAGCAATGAAATGCGAGACAATGGATTGATGTTTGCAACAGCAACAGCCCGGTTTGATATGATAGAATGATATTTTGCAAATTAACGATTTACTATATGGTTTTTCTATTTTAAGAAGTAATTCTGTAATTTGTCTGCAATTTGGCTGTCCTCACCCGTGTTATTCTTCACTACAATAGTACAGGTTTATCATTGTAGTTTAACATTTTCGAGTTAAATGAAATCATAATTTCTGGTTTCAACTTGATAGTTTACAAAACTCTGTTTGCACTACTGATAGATAGTCAAAACTCAGTTGTCTGAGTACTTATTAAACTAATATAACAATCGATCCTAGACTGCTTTTTAAACAATCTATAGCTAGAACTCAACGTGGAGAAAGTTGGTGAAAATTTAACACAGGTTTTAGGGAAATTAAAAAATGCGGAAGCATTAAACAAGTCAAGATAAAGAGTAAATAAAGTTTTACAATAACTTGTCCTTAACTTGTAACTAGTTAAAAGCTAATGATACATTATTCTGCTGAAGTACTTTATAATGTGCAGGACGTTTTAGTACACACTTCAAATCATATAACAAAGAAATCGTAAATTAAAGTCATATTTTGATTTACCCCTTATTAAACTAGAATAGGATTTAGAAGTAAAATTCCGTGAAAACTAGCTGCACTACACAATGTAAATGATGAAAATTCAGTACCTAATAAATTTGTTTGTTTTTAAGCTAATTCAATATTACTTAACCAAAGGAAACATTAAATCTACACATTGTGGAGTTAATTAGTTTCTCACTTAACCCTTCACATGATGATCACCTTATAAACAAATGTGGTTCAACTTTGATAATTTAAATCATTATATTTTCATTCAATGTATCAATAAGTTGTCCCCTTGATGTTTTTAGTTTAATTGCTTAAGTGATCATACTGCCACGTTCTGACAAATGGTTTCAAACTTGAATAACACAAATGTCAATTCCTGCAACATTCTCCAGTGAAAATAAACCTTAAAAATATATGAGAAGGGTTTTTGTGGATATTATAGTAATTTCAATGGTTGAATCAATTGAAGCTAGACCACCATAAGAAACCTGGAAGCACTACACGGCCGTTTCGTCTTATTGTAGGACTCCTCATCAGTGAGCATCCACAATCCCGCCTCGCAGGATTCGAACCCAGGACCTGTCAGTCTCGCGTTAGAACGCTTAACCACTAGACCAATGAGCCGGCCGGAATTCAACGGCGTTAATGTCTAACTTCAAACAATCCACGAAATTGAGCGACACATCCACCATTGTCATCAGTGAGTTACTATCTCACATCAGACCCAGATGAACTCCATGGTCACTGCTTCTCACTAGAACTCCAGGATATACCTCTTGAAGCCAATCACTAGTGTGCAGACTTCAAAGAATATATTTAGTCAACCTTATGGATAAAAATAAAGCTTACAACTTAACAGCGAACAAAAAAACACGATTTCGGTATAAAACAATTAATATAGTAAGAAGTGATGCTTTAGGTATTTAAAGATGGGCTTGTAGCAAGCCCACTGAACTATTTTATTATTTGTATACACGTTGTAATTTAAACATTTAATCCTTACTGTAAAATTATTTGTGAGTCTTATCGTGTGCATGTCTGCACATTGCTTCTTTTTATCGATCCCCCACATTGATTGTAAACACAGACAATCAATAATTTATCCACAATCGATTAACATATGCACTTGTTTAACATATATATATATATATATATATATATATCCGCGCTTGCAGATTTTTACTAATCATTAACAATAAACTATCTCTACAACTGGTGTTCGAGCTCTTGAATAATCTCCAGTAAATTCATAATACAACGAGAAGATTTAGCCTGCGTAAATACTCAATCAGCGGGATAGTATTTGTTGGAGAGATTAACCTCTACAGGCTAGAATTTTGGTTTGGAATGTTAGGGATAAAGAATTAAGGTTAGGTTTAGAGATAGAATCGAAAATACAATCTGTGTCAGGAGGTGTTTGTTGCAGTTTACGTACATGTCACATTCACAGTGTATGGTTGAACAAAAGATATTTTTTTATCGGTTTTAAGCTTTTTAACTTCTAAATATGTAAGGACTTCACTTAGATATTATGGTATCACTCAGTGTTCTCTAAATTTCACTCTAGAAACTGATACAGGCTATATTAGATTTGATTGTTAGTTAAATATACAAAACAGAATTGATCGTTTACATTGTTACTCAGCGACTGACATTTTCATATATTTATATTATTGAAGCATTGTATTAGTGTTGACACTTTCCAGTAATTTCAATATTAAATGATTTACTTTTATACTTTTAACAAGAACAAAAGTTTTACTTACCTATTTTTATAGCTTTTTCAGGATCAGCTGCCGAATCAACATAAACGTGACAGATACCAGACCCATGACCCATGACAGGTACACCAGTACCGGCTTTATTTGCTGCATTACGAATACTTTCAATCATTTTTGAACTACCTCTTGGAATGACTAAATCAACAAAAGATTGTTTATCTATACCCTGTAAAACATAATCCACATCTTTGCGTCCTTCAAGTAGACCAACAGCTTCAGATGGTAGATTGACCATTTCTAAAGCTTCACCGACAAGTCTATGAAGTACTCGAACAGTATGTAAGGCTTCAGATCCGGGTTTTGCTAATAGACCATTGGCTGTAGCGATTGAAAGCGCAGCAACCTTAATGAAAGTTATTTAATTGACTTGTAATAATATGAAGCAGTTTCACATAGAAATTTCACTATAATTCGGAAAAGTGTTAGCAGTAGAAGAAATGAAATGTATTTGTCTTGTTAGGAGCTTTTCAAGTGGAAATACATGCTTACCAGTGTTGATGTTCATACTGGAACTAACCTAGTATCGCTTATTTTGTTGCACGTTAATCAATAAAATCTGACCTCAATTCATTAGTGAATATCAATAATGGGATAATACAAACCTTTATAAATAAGTTTTAGTTCCAGTTCTAATTTATGAGTAACCACTTAAACCAACATAATAAAACTATTATCGTGTCATTTATATCCTACAGTATATCAGTCGTGGCTTGAGTACTTTTCTGATGAACAAAACCTTGATTAAAAGAATTCCTAGAAACTGCCTCAAATCATATAACATTTAAAAAATACTTTATACTAATCAATCGAGAAACTTGGTTTGGGAAACGCATTGCAACTTGATCCGTAGAATTCAACCAGCAGCTAAATCAATGCTCAGCGTAATACATTTTGCTAGTAAACCGACTAAATTATCATAACGGTATTGTTAGTAAATAATCTTATAGACATTTTACTTGTAATAAAATGAATATCGGGAAAATTGAGACTATTAGAACTACAGAGAACCATTATTTACATTTTAATAGTATAATTATTGAATAACCGGTTAATTACATTTCTATATTCCCTGTAATGTAAGCTTCCTTTGAACCCATTATTTATTGACAAAGGTTTTACCATTATGAAAATATTGCGAATTTTCTATGAATGTTTGAAAAATATACGGTAAATAAAAGCTTTCTTTCTGGTGCATTCTGTTAAGAGGAATAGAACACGTGGCGTTCTGGACTAAATAACAGTTAAGATTATCTAAACTATAGATCCATGGTCAACTGAAGTCAGTTGAAGTTTATCATTAGTTAAAAGAAAGAACATAAGTTCACAAACATAAGAAATTACTTCGAGATAGAGAATTGAAAACCTTTTGGTGTATCTCTCTAGTGATTTCAACTATACCTTAGTCATAACAATTTTCTTCTTCAGATCAAAGGACACTAATAATCATTAGATCATAATGAAACATAATATTCATGTTAACTGATAATAACATTACTAGTACACGCTTAAATTGAATGATAGTCATGTAATAACAATGTGCATAGTTTCTTAAGCTGATTAAAATACTTAGGTATTAGTGTCATTTGGTGTCAAACGGTTGACTTTATATATATTTTTAAAGATATATCAATGAACAGTCTGAGAACTTTCGGAAAACAACCTACTTATACGAGATGTATTCAGTTTGGCGATTTTGATACATCAACAAATAGATGAGATAAATATACTGAAAAAAGGCAATCATTTTATGTTTCATCAACTAAGTTGTGTACATCATTGACCTATCAGTATTCAGATCAAATGTAATCAGTTATTCATCTCTCTATGTTTTTGTTTACATAAATACGAATGTATCAGATAATCCACAGAAAATTCAAACTAAACTGATATTTAAATTTTCAAGTTAAAGCGATTGTAATGTCAGTAGAATCGCTGGAAGGTTGTTAGTTTCAATCTTGAAATATTCAACAAAGTCTATTCAATACATTCATTAGAATGTTTTAAATTCCGACTCATAATTTACTAAACTAATACTACTATCAATATACTTATGGGATTGTCGTCAAATGAAATAACCTTTTTCGTTATTCCAGACCTATGTTTAGAGAATTGTTTAAGGGTGAAGGATTCTATTGTGGTAACCATTTGTAGGTTATCAGAATGAGGATTTGGGGAGATTGTAGTAATTTTAATAGTTTAATTCATGAGTCAATGTAAGCTAGACTACTATTGAAAACTTGAAAGCATTGAACGGCTGTTTCGTCCTGGTATGGGACCCCTCAGGAGTGCACATCCAAGATCCTGCACACGGGACTCGAACCCAGAACCTTCGATCTTGTGAATGAATGCATAGTCACAAGACCACTGAGCTGTCATCCAACAATGATAATGTCTAACTTTAACCTATCCATGATCTTCTGCAACCCTTCATCGATTGTTTGAAGTAGATAACTGTCTCCACCCAACACGGACTGAATTCTATTTGTCACAGCTTTTCAATAGAACTCTAGGATTGATTGAAGCTAGACATTAACAGTATTTGATGATGGATAAGTGGTCTAGAGACTATACGTTCGCGCGCGACACTGAGAAGGTTCTGGACTCGAGTCCAGATTTCCAGATCGTGGATGTGCACTGTTAATGAGTTCCATACTTGGTCGAAATGGCCATCCAATGCTTCCAAGTTTTCAATAGTGGTTTGGTTTACATCGACTCATGAATTCAACTACTTGTAAGTAGATTGAAGATGCTTCAGAAATATTCTGACGTCATGAATTATTATTATTGTCTTTGGAGGAAAAAATTTCCAGATTGTTAATTCTTCCCAGTTAAGGTTTTTTTTTAAGTGTATACTATAAAATCAGATATTTTTCAATTATTTTTCCGTGCTTCTCATCTTTGTTTTCTTCTCTCTGTTTATAGATCATCCTCCTCCTCAAACGACAACAACAACAAACTCTGGTTCATAACTTTTGCTTCATATTAGTTTATTCGTTGTGACAAATATCCTTTCAAAAAGATTTAGGAACAATGTTATTTTAAATAATTTACTCTTATATCTCCGTTCATTACATGTTGCATTCTTTTCATTACCAATCTGGTTTTGCTTTTAAATAGACATGGTTTCTGGAATTCTTTTTGAAATATATTTTGTTTAATTAAAAGTGAATAGAGCAATAATCAATGGATAGTAATTAATAACAATAAATACGTTTGACAGGATATGAGACAAACAGACTAAATTCGTTAGTAATATCTTGAATATTATATAAGAACTTTCGTCTAGATTTGAACGCATAGTTTTACAGTATTTGAGCACCGACTTAATGTGAGTCATTAAGAAGGAAGAATGTATTTGTAAAATCTCAGTGAATGAATGTGATTGGATATCCTGTTTAGCATACAGTTAACCATAGAACCATGTACTTGTTTATATTCGATAATTTTGATGTTTGATCATATTTTTTTGAAAAACCTTGAACCAGATTGCCAGGTGAGCACATTGGATTTACTTTAAATTCATTCGTTGAAATTTAACAAACACATTCTTCTTCCTTTATATCTTTAGTAATATTATCCAATTGAACAAAAGAGTTACCTGTGGTAAGCAATCTGGTCTCGATTCAAATATCACCATTAATACACCGATAGGTGCAGTAACTTTCTCCAAAATTAAATTGTCTGCTAATTTAGTACGAGACAATACACAATTAACATGGCCATGTCGTTTACGTGATTCAGTGGCAATTTGTCTAAGTCCTTCACTTAATGTTTTTATCTTTGAATGACTTAATTGCAGTCTAGCCAACAGGATAGATGAAATACCTTCAATAAAGATAAATTTTAAAATATATTTTATTTTGGTTACATAAGTAACATAATAAACGTTTTAGTACTCATTAGTCTCCAAAGACGTTTTGTTTGTAAAATGTCTAAAGGTGAATTATAATTACTGAAATATGCCAGTAACGTGAGCGCGTAATTTCAACGCTTAGTGTATTAGGCCCTTTAGAAATCTGATGTTAAATACACGTTTTTATAGTAAGATTATAAAAGTTTGTTTTCTACCTAAACTTTTCTGCCATTGATCAGTGTCAGGTAACCACATTTATAACTGTTAGGTGGTGAATGGAATTAGTCGATAGGATGCCCTAATTCACCTAGGTTTCGTGCCGTAAGGTTCTCCTGTAATTATAAGGGAGCTGATGCTTCTAGGAGGATTAGATTGAGCGTCACTCAGGTTTATATTCACAGGCATTATAAGTATTGATTGGGTGAATTCGATTATCACCATGACGGAATTGACGTATATGGCATCAGTCACTACACAATGATTAATCAACTTTAAATACATTTGTCAATTAATACATAAATGATATGCACAATGGCTAAGCGAAATCGCTTTCCACCTGGTCTGCAGGAATATTCCTTAAAAGGCCACCAAATGTAATGGTTAGCGTGGTTGATACTAATCTATTCTTGCTGACGTCGGAATTACATAACTTAGATGTTTACAATAAATAATCACTTGATCGTTTAGATTAAATAATAAATAGCGTCTATTGAGAGATCAATAAACAAGTGACTGTCAAATCTGTTTGTAATTTGTGCTGGCTTTATGAAATTTTGATGTCGAACAGTAGTAATATTATCTATCGTAGAAATGGTTATGGAAGATGTTCTCGATATATACCGTACTAAATATCAGATAAATGTCAATAACTTTTTAGTGGTTTATTAGACCATAAAATTATATCAGTCACTTGTACATGCAAAGTATTCGTTAATTAGTTGAGGATGATTTTGTCTTAAAGAACGATTTGCGATCATTTGAATTGTACACATTACTGAGTATATAATAAACAAAATAGATTTATAAAGTTATTGAAAAATAATGACTGCTTACATATTGTCTAGTGAGATGATTTTATTCAATACAGTTTGACCAGTTCTATATCATTTTTCAGAATTGTTTTTCATCTGATTTATCACATAGTAGGTGAAACACTTATTGCAACTGAAGACTATAATGGACTATAAGACATGGTTTCATGTGAATACAACTTTTTAGTTTAAGTAAAATAGACACCAGTATTCATCTATATGAAACCAACGATGATTATATTATCCAGAGTGGCAAAGAAAACCTCTTATACAAACAGTACTATGAAACAAATCTACATAAACCACATGTGTATTCTATTATTTAATCACATTCTAAAGTATCTGAAAACATACATTTGCATCCCGAACAGCTTAGTATTAGTTGTTTGAGGCCTGAAATAAGTAGTCTAGGTTAGTGTAGGCTTTTGCTCAGATACCTAAATGACCGTGATATGTATATGTGCTGCAACTTGACTCAGCATGTATTTATACCAGTGGTCTTATGTTGTTTTTTTGGATGAAAATACAAACGTTTATTTTTAATGACGTATTGAAAATTAAATTAAAGAAATGAACATACCAGCTGCTTCAGCTTGTTTTATATCAATTTCATTTTCACGAATAATTTCATCTTCATGTTTTAAAAGCTTATCAGCTAAATGATCAATTGCATTTGCTCTAGCTTCAGGTGTAGAGGAGTTCAGTAGTATACTGGCTTCACGAGCTTATTATATAAGAAAATATATATATAAGATATATAGTGAGAGTTCAATATTTCAGTAGTTTAGGGTTATACTTAGTTCAAACAATACTATAATATTTATTATCAATTAATATACAATATTCATTCTATCTTAAGTTTTGAAGATTGAATATATCAATAATCATTTTGGTTATGATCATAGTTTGTACGGTATGTTTTGGTTTTTCTAAACTAGTTCTCAATTTATGTCGATTTCTTGTAGTTCTGAAGTTGATTTCGATTTCAGAAGAGGTTTATGTGAGTATTATAGTAATGTCGATAATTGAGACCATGAGTCAACTGAAGCTAGACTACCATGAAAAACCTGGAAGCACTGGATGGCCGTTTCGAATCTCGCCAGGCAGGATCGCGGATGTGCACTGCTGATGAGTCCCACAATAGGACGAAACGGTCGTCCAATGCTTCCAGGTTCTCCATGATGGTCTAGCTTCAATTGACTCATGATTTCAAATATTGAAATTAATTTTAATTGTTTAAAATAAACATCTTGAAATATTGATTGAATTTTAATGAGTGAATGACCTTAGGTTTAGAAACCACCTACTGAAATAAAATCTTCTAGTTGATGTATCAAATTCGACCTTGTAGTTCACTATAAATTATCCAGGTTATTTAAGTAATACATGAATCCTCATGAAATCATAGCAAATACATACTTTATTAAGTACTCGAGGTAATTGAAATCATTGGTTGAAGTTGTTGAGTGAATTAAGTCAACCAGCGACCCAGATATATTCACTTTTCATCTTTCCCTGAATCTTAAGTGCTATTACTTTTCAATAAAAGTTTTTTTATCTCTTCTTTTCGAAACTCATCCTTAATATTTACTCCTTTGTTATTCAAGAAGTTAATTTTATCTCATTGTGTTGATTCAAAATGAAAACTAGAGCTAACATACATTTATGTCAGCCTCCATGTTAATTTTAACTGACTATTTCGATTATAAATATTTTCTGTTACATATTTTATTTATTTTTCATTCAACAACTAGTAACATAAAACAAATTTCGTTTTGAACCATGATTCACTTCATTTGTGAATTACATAGTTTTGCATTAAGAATTGACGTTTGCACAACTAATAAGTTCAACAGTTTTCACAATCTCTATACACTAACTGTAATCATTAATAAATTTAGTAATTATGGAATATAAGCTAAGAGATTGATACATAACCAATCCACAGTTATAAATGACAGTGAATAATATACTATGAGTACTTTTTTTCATCCACTCTAGCAAACTGAACTGAATTTGATATTGTTTAATTTATATTCTCATGTTACCTTTCATGGCAATTTGTTTAATTGTTTCTTCTCGAATATCAAGCTGATTTTCCGCTTCATTTTTTTCTTCTAATGTGAAAAATGTGCCAACATCCATGCCATTCATGACATCAGTAATACAATTAAATCTGCTACCTCTGATTATGACAACTGAAGTTCCCTTCAATGATGAATAAATTATAATATAAGATATCATGAATGTTTTTAATAAAACTTTAACTCTCAGATAAATACAAGTAATCATGAAATAAACGTACAATAATCGGGTCGTCTACTTCTTAGTATTAATCTAATTTTGTAGGTTAAATAGTAAATACCTTCACTTAATTGGAGGTTAATTGATGATAAAATGGTTCAGTGATAATGATTCTAAGTGTGACACTTGGTTATGTAATTTTCAATCACGCAGAAAGCATCATTTTTATACATGTTTATGGATAATCGTTATTTCCAAACCTATTATCTCTAACCATCTACCTAGCCTTCTATCGAATACACACGAACAAATTCAGACAAAGACAGCCAGTGTAGCAGCAGTCTCTGCATCAGTAGGCCTCAGCATACACAAAGGGAAAACTAAGGTCCTCAAATTCAAAGCGGAGAACAGCAATCCAATCACTCTTGATGGCGAAACTCTGGAAGATGTAGAATCCTTCACATACCTGGGAAGCATCATCAATGAACAAGGAGGTTCGGATGCAGACGTAAAGGCGAGGATTGGCAAAGCAAGGGTCACATTCCTACAATTTAAGAACATATGGAACTCAAAGCAACTTTCAACCAATATCAAAGTGAGAATCTTCAATACCAACGTCAAGGCAATTCTACTGTATGGAGCTGAAACTTGGAGAACTACAACAACCACAATCAAGAAAGTACAAGTATTTATAAATAGCTGTCTACGCAAGATACTCAACATCAATTGGCCGGATACCATCAGCAATAGCCTTCTGTGGGAGAGAACAAACCAGCTTCCAGCTGAAGAAGAAATTAGGAAAAGACGATCGAAATGGATAGGGCATATATTGTGGAAATTATCAAACTGCATTACGAGTCATGCTCTAACTTGGAATCCTGAATGGAAGCGGAAAGGAGGAATACCGAAGAACATACTACGTTGGGAAATAGAAGCAAATATGAAGAGGATGAATAGCAAATGGAAAGGACTGCCCAGGACAGGGTTAAATGGCGAGTGCTGGTGAGCGGCCTATGCTCCTCCATGAGGAATAACAGGCGTAAGTAAGTAATCTAACACGATATTGTCACGCTCTACTTTAAACTATATATTTTAGAATTAAGGTGAACATTTATCGATTTCGTGAAGGACTAGTTTACAATGATTACTCTTATACTAGTAACTTGAATAAATCATCCTAAAAGTCAACAGACCTAGTTTGATACTTTCTATAGAAAGAGCCTTATTTGAGAAAAAATGACAGTCATCGATAATGTAAATATTTTTATAAATTTGATACATTAAGAACCAAAGCATTTTTGTACACGATTGACATTCATGTTTGCAAGAGTCAGTTGAAACGTTCAATTACAAGTCACTTTATACATAACGTATTCTACTGAAATTGAAATAAACTATACTGGAAATAATTGTCTCACTAACAAAGATATGGTCTACTTAAGTTAGTTATTTCAAGCACAAGATAGTGATAATTTCATTATTAAATGAGGGAAATTGGTATGTGATATTTTCTCTCAATCGACCGAATTACTCAAATGTAGCAGTTACAAATGACGTATACTTATCATTGAACAGTTCTATAAGCACTAATGTCTGTAATTGTCATCATATGCAAAATGTTCTTGTTTACAACACATATGATTTGATGCTTAGGTGACAAACGTTATGTTACTGAGTTATGTCAATTATTTTTAAAGGTTCTCATTGCAGAAAAAATGTAGCATTATTAAATTATTTAAACTACAAATGGAATTACTATCTTACTTGTCTGACAGCCCAAACTGCTGATGCAATTTTACTTTTCATACCCCCAGTACCGACAGAAGATGCTTCACCAAAATTCAGGAATTCACCATTGACTAATGGTGAGTGAGTATCATATTCTGGATTTTTCGTTACTTCATACTCGGCCACAAATCGAGCACCAGGACTACCAGGTGGTGCAGTATATACACCATCTACATCAGATATTAAAAGCAATAGATCTGATTTTAATTCACATGCCAAACGAGCAGCTAAACTGTCATTGTCACGTACTTGAAGGGTTAGGGCTGTATCCTGAAGATAGGAGAACATGGTCAGAAAAAATTGTATTACCACACTGTCATCTACCATAGTTTGTGTACCAACTGATCAGAAGCTAGATGAAAATACGTTTGACATTAGACAACATTTTGAATTTTTACAACACAATAATCCTACCTCTTTAAATGAATCAGTTAAAGTAAAAAATAAACTTAAATTCACCTAGCAGGAAGTACCTGGTAGAATTTGCCAGCTTCGGAACATTGAATAGTTGATGCATTCTAGTTGTAATCATGTCCACAGTGCTCACTCACAGGCTCAAACTATATGCAACCAAATCTGACAAAACACAGATGTCTCACAATCTAGTGCGTTGCAAAAGTTATAAATGATTTGGTTTATCAATTTCTCTCATTCTAGAATAAGTAAGTTCATTTAATTATTCTATGTAGTAACGATAAGGTATTATTCGTGAATACCTACCTGATACTAGATACGGTTGAACTTCTATGGTTTTGACTTCCCTCTAGAAATCCTGGGGTTACCTCTATAAACTAATCGCTAATGAGTATATGGTTATTATTAGTGTAGGACTTTTGGCTTGAACTTGATCCTCAATAGAGTCGCGTATGCGCAATTTTAAGGAGTCCCATACTAGGACGAAACAGTTGTTTAGTGATTCCTCGTTTCTAATTTATGTCTAAGGTGAATATTTATAGTTAACTGCAAAATTTCCTTTCACTTTTCAATTTCTTAGTTTGTCGACATTTAGTTTACTTACTGTGCATGTTGTACCAGCAGAATTTTCTTTATTCCAAGCAACAGCATCGTTCGTATTAATTATTGGTACAACCCCTTGATTTAATAAATCTTGAAGTGCTGTACGCCAATATGCTCGTCGATGACCATCATCAAAATCGACAGGTGTCAATAACATCTGGATGAGAACATAAAATGAAATATATGAACTCTTATTCTATTCTATTAAAGTGTAACAATGTTAACAAACTATACACTAAGCTCCTGGGTGATGAACGTTACCATGGTCGGCTGGTTTTATATTTATATTTGTATGACGGGACTTATTTTTTAAATCATATTCAGTGCTGAATTAGATCAACACTGACATGCAGGTATATTAAGCTAATGAGTCCCGAAAATGATGGAAGATGCATCTTAGATTCTACTGCTAACTATTATTCTAGAATGTAATAGACACGTAACTACTGTCACTTTTGTGGTTTCCAATTAAAGAAGCCGCATGCAAGTAGTTACTGATCAAATTCTTTTCTGAGAGTCAAAAAGAAAAAAATGGACAAACTCCAGGGAATAACAGTAAATTAGATTCTTATTGTTTTTTAAATACCGGGAATTCTCGGTCATATTTTTTCCAGTTTGTAATATATATTCAAATTCTAAATTATTATAATTCGAAATGTAAACAAAATATAAATAAACATACAGCAGCTGTTCGAAGATCACATTGTTCAAATAAATGATCATATAATGTAACCATCTCTGCCATACCAATAGCTGCTCGAGCTCCTCGACTACTTTTTTTCTCATCTGTTTCAAGATGATGCCGTCCTAATGCTATTGCTCCACTAGTAACAAGAAGACATTGCCGACCCTGATAATAGTAAATAAAAGATAAATAGAATAATAACATTGAACGAAATAAATATGGGAAACAAATAATTATAAAAATGCTTTATCATATGTGTATCCGAATAATACGATTTCTTAACAAATGACTATTGTTACCCATGAATAAGACATAGTGAATATAAACAATATCTCGTGCACTAGACCGAATGTTCTGGGTTCAAGTCCAGAGTGCGGGATCGTGGATGCGCACTGCTGAGAAGTCAAATACTAGGACGAAACGGCTTCCGGGTTTTCAATGATGGTCTAACACTAATCCATTCACGATATTAATTTAAGCTCAACAATCTCCACAACCGTTTACTGATAATATTGCTTTCACTTAGGTCTCTCTCAAGTTTTACTTTAATGTACGCATATTTTCATAAAAAGATATCAGTCAAAGCGTTTTGTGATTTAATAATGACAATCATGTAGATTACACAACGGTGTTGATGTCTAACTGTGAGTTCATTCGTTCTTGATTTTTCAGAAGTACATAATATTTCCCAAATTAATTATCAATGATTTGGGATATTGATGGATAGCTATCCAACGTAGTGCTGATTATGTCAATTTATAGATTGTACTTTCCACAGGATCGTCTCAGTTAGTATACGGCTGAAAATCAGGAAGTGATGGACAGCTGTTTAATCCCAGCACATGATTATTTGAAAATGCCTACTTGCCACTATGCAGGTAAAATAAACCGGAAAATTAAGGTCTTGATGAGAAAGCTCAACCAATACAACCACAGGACCTATGGGTAATTATACTAGATGGTTGTATCTTCCTTAATTGGAGGGTTTCTTCTGATTGTACCTTTCCGTTCCCACATTATTACCACTATTATTATTACACTACCTTACACCAGTCTCTTCCTTATTGTTCTTTTTTTTAACCTTCCTTACCTTTATTTTCTTTTTCCTTCTCTTTAAATTTTCATTGTTTTGTGTGGCACATATATATTTGGCGCACTCTTGTACCAATATGTATGTGTTCAAATAAAGAAATAAAATAAATAAATATGACCCATGGCAGGGTTTTGTTCTGAACTGCTATGTCCTATAGTAGGACGATAAAGATCTTTCCCTGCTTCTTGGTTTTCGAAGGTACATGAAATGAAATCATTCTGTGACAAACAAACACTACAAATGGAACCGTATTCACCAACAAACCAATCAATTTGATCATGGTAATCCCTAATTTTTCAGAAGAACACAAATCACCTTGAATTTATTGTACTCATAACAAAATTTTAATTTTAAGATAGTAAACACTGCTGATAGAATTCATTTTGATAACTGTTGAAGGCGAAGCCTGAAGTTCTTGGGTTTTTTATCCGTTAGTGGCATATTATATCCATCCACATTGTTGATGAGATCTATATTAAGGTAAAGCACCTCAAGCACAGTGATATTTTCTCACCAAATATTGATTTGAAACATTTATCTAGAAGCTTCGTGAAGGCGAATCAACGAATGTAATACAAAGGTAGAATAGTAAGGAAAAGGTGTTGGAAATATATTTAACTGTGACAAACTCTTGATTCAACTCCGCCCGGAGTCCCTCCGAGGGCTACTGCCGGTCCCAAGCCCGAGTAAAGGAGGAGAGTTGGGCATAGGGTTAGCGACCCCTTAACGTAGAAAACTAACTCGCTAGAAAAACGCTAACCAGAAAAAGTTATTCAGACCTTTTAAACTCTGTCCTGGGAGTCTGAAGGTCTTCATTTAGAAGAGTTGTGACGCCTCATGATGAAAGTCGAGTTCCTTTGGAAGTCACTAGGCCAATGCCCCTTCTGACAACCAGAGCAACCATTTATTTAGGTACATGGAATGCTCGTACAATGTGGGAGACCGGGAGAGTTTTCCAAATTGCTGCAGAACTCTTAATTCAAACGTAATTACTAAATATCTGGAAAATAACCACAAATATTAAACATTTCATTGTTCCCAAGTTAAAGCGTCTCAATAGTAAGTACATATGACAAAACGGGATCGAACTGGAGACTTTCGAGTCAAACGGAGACGGGGATACTATTTGCACTGAGCTAAAATGAAGAGGTCTAATTTTCCTCACCGTTTTATTTTATATAATCTTCATTTAATACCCTTCTTAAATTCCCATCTCATTCTAACTTGAGATATTTTATTTGCATGGGATTACGTTTAAAACTGTTGAAAATCCATTTCCAAGTCACTAACTAAAGAAACTTCGATGATTACTAAATTGGATGCATTATGGTAAAGACTTTAAAGCTTGAAGACAGTATTCATCATAAACCGATGTTTAAACCTATCAAGTCATACAATAGATGTAATATCTTTAAGATCATTTAGATAGTGTTCAATCGTCTACAACTTATTACTTCTAGTCCATCTTTATTTATTACAATCATACAAATTAAGATTTAAACATATCACTTCTCTATATGTTATTGTTTTGTTTGTTTGGCTACATAGAAACAGATATCTGTATGTGCATAACATTGATAGAAGCAATAGAAAACAATTTATGAAATAAGATGAACTAATGATTTATTTATTGATAATAAGAATTTACAGAAATCTCATTCGGTTCACATATACTCTGTTGCACAAGTACACATACATACATGTAGGCACATACACACACACATGTATATATATACATACATACAACAGTAAGTTTACACAAACAAACCCATTTAAGTGTGATTACATATTTGACCTAGTGATATGATTTATTATAAATGATATTACTAATTACTATGTGACTATTTATTATTTATTTCAAATTAATAATGAACCGAATATAAACAATCTATTGATATATATATAGTTCATGATAACCAACTATAATGGATCCGTCCAATTTGTGGACATTTCATTATCATTTAAATATTAATAAATGGAACAATCTATTCATTAATATAATTTTTAAGATTAAATATGACAGTTATTATTTACTGGGATCCAAAACAAGTACCAATTTGTTGAATAATTTTTAAGTTATATTTGAAATATAAAAATTGAATTAAAAGACTTTGTGTCATACCGTTTTGTATTTATTTATATATTGTCTGATAATTGAAAGCCAGTTGTATAAAGATCCAACTTAGTTGTTTTATTAGTTAGTAGTCATCAGGTAGATGCATATGAAATTCCAAGAAGATCAAATAACGTTTCATCAGAGCTTAGATATGAAGTAGTCGGCTAGAGAGTAGACTAATAACATGACATCATGCATTGTTTAGCGATTACTGTTAAGTGTTTTTAAAGACCCATTAAATTATAAATTATGTGCATGTTTTTCGGAGATCATATATATTCATTTGATAATTTATTATAATAGTGAAATATTTCCTGTTCTCCAGAAGACTTAAGTCAGTTTTCATTAATTATCTGATAAAAAAAACCAGGTGTGATCAATATTTTTTTTATCCTCTCAGTTACTCTACGATCGATTGGATCTGTTTATCTGATTAAAATCACGATACCGTCCAACATCTCATGGCAATAACTGACTAAACATCAAAATTACTTAAGGAATATCATTTCAAATATGATTTCTAGGTATTCAGTACCGATAAAAGCAAAGTAAATGAAATTTTCTGTTTACGGTATTATATATCAATAGCCTATAAATACTCTGTAGATGAATCTTTTTTTAATTATTGTTTTCGATAGAAACCAATTCATTGATAATCATCTAACAATTATTGATTTTCATTGTTCTATTTTTAATATTAAGAATAATAATTCACTAATTAAGAAAGAAATATCTCACTAGTGAAAAAGAGAAGTACAAATACAACAAATACAATCTTCTAAGATAAGGAAATCGAAGTTAAACGCTAGCGAAAATGTGATTGTCAATAGACAATAAACAATGCAATCCATCAACTCAATGTTTATGCGCTATTTAAATACAATAATAATAATAATCTGCTTAGGGAACATAATTTCAATAAATTTTCCTACTAAGAGCTTTAATACTTCTCCACCATCTTATTGTACATGAATTGTTTTAAATATTAACCATTTACTAAATACTCTATAATACCTCTATAATGAGAAGGTTAGTTACACAAATTTTAAGTTTAACCATTACTGGTTTCCATGATATTTTCAATAAATATCATTAATTATGTATAATTATAAAATAGAATAGGATTGATAGTGTAGTGGAAAATGGTTAGTTAAACAAATGTTAACTTAATCTAATAAGTTGTTTGATAATTAATATATGAAAATTAGATTTTAAGTTGTACTATGCATAGAATAAAATGTATACTGCAAAACAAAAAGGGGATTACTTCATCAGTATCCAATATATATATATATATATATATATATATATATATATATATATATATATATATATATATATATATATATATATATATATATATATATATATATATATCAAAGGAAACCAAGTATGAAAGTGATTTTTTCTTCCCCTAAGTAACACTGAGCAAAAATTTCTGGTAATCAATAAATATCAAAGTTTCTATGTGGTTATTATACATTTTAATTATGTTTTCTGAAGAATTGAGGGTTCATATTTTGACTAAGGAAATCTCATGTTAATTAGTTGGATTCAACTTTTCTATAAAACGTTACATAATCATAAAATAATATGAAATAAAATTAACCAAATTTATTCATATACTGATTGCATTTTTGTATAGTAATTAGTAGTATAATCAGTGATTGTGATTTATCCCCAATGAATTTATTTCAATTAAAGTTCATAATCATCTTGTATGATTATCTTTAATTGTTAAAACCTTATCTCTTAGAGTAGTGTCATTTTATAACCACATATATTTCATTGTATTATTTGTAAAAGATAAGTTTGAGTTCTTATGTGGATTACGTGATGAGTCTGAATCCATATGTTTATATGCTTGATTAGTTATTTTATTACTAATTATACGTAAGATAGTATAAACCCATACAATGGATTTAAATCACGATTTAGAAGTATTAAGGAGACGAAGATTATCAGAACTATGTGATGATATATTAGCTCAATACATTTCGAGCAATCTAATCACACACAAACTTGTTAAGAGCATTTATATATAAAAATAAATGGTCAACTAGACTGGAAATGGCGTAAGAGGAGACAAGGATAATAATAAGAACACAACTTGAAACCTAATCATTCTGGATAATAAGTTAATATTACCAGGGTAGGTTTAAGGTTCTGATAATTCTGATAATCTTTGTCTTCATTTAAGTTACATTTAACCCATTTAATTCTACATCATTTCATAATTCTAAATAAAATAATAATAATAAATAATAAATAAAAATTTTGTAACTTACTTGTTGACATAATTCAGCAATTTGTTCTACTATAGCAGCTAATCGACCAAGTGCTAAACCGCTACGATCCGGTTTTGTTACTACGGCACTACCTAATTTTATAATAATTTTTTTAGCATTATTTAATTCAACGCGTGTTCGTGCTAATTTATTTAATGCTGTACTCATATGATAACCATTTTTCATTTGATTATTTCTTTGAATAATACTAAAAAAAAATGTTATGAAATTTTCATTTAGAATTATTTATGATCAACATACAGATTCAGTAAATAATTGGCTTTTAACATTATTTTTTTTCCTTTAAATTATAAAAAAAACAAAAAAAACAAGAAGAAAAAGAAAGAGCAGAAGGAGCAGATAAAGAAGATAATGAAGAACAAGAACAAGAACAAGAAAGTATCATAAATTTCACTGGTTACAAATGTAAAATTTGCAAAATATCAATGTGTACTTCATATCATTTGATATTGAGTTGATATTTATAGTTTTCTCTATTTATTTTTTTTTAATTTTAGTGCGAAAAAAATGACCTTCACAATTTAAATTTGAAAAAAAACTATTAACGCACTGTGTGATTTTGATTGGTTATTTAAACAAATAGTATTTAATCTATGACATATAGATTTTTTTTCTTAAATAATGATGGATTAACCCTTTAAATGATTTTAATATGAAATGATTTTAAATAAGATTTTTCATGAAAGATATAAATCAAATAAAGTTATGGATTTTTCTATGGACGATCTTTGAGAGACGTTAAAGTGCCATTGAGAGTGCCTATCTATTTACTGGTTATAAAACCAGTGTGAGGAATATGAATTATGATTTATAGTTGATAGTAAGGGTTAGGAATTAGATTTATAGTTTTCATCATGAACTGATATTAGCTAGAATGTTAAAACGCTATTTAAACTAATTATAACACGTTATATTAGCGTTCACCTGGAAGCAGGAGTAACCTGAAACAACAATACAACAGTCAGGACTGGTAAATGCTTCTGAAGTAAGAAAGTAGCGTACTACACAACAGATATATTTTTAAAAATTGAAAGACGTGATTCAAGTACAAAAAGGGAAACTTATTACAAAATAGTTTTATTCATTGTTCTGCACGTTCAACTTACATGGGGCTTGTTCCTATTCTTTCAGTAAATTTACCCTTTGCTGCCGTTCAATATGAAAAACAAACATTAGTAATGTCACATTTAATGATTTTTAATACAGTTACATAATAAACTAATGAATTTCACGCCAAAATCCAACGTCTGTTATCCTAAATTTGATTGGTTCGTTTATAAATTATAGTCTTGCCGATTTTCTATTAAGGTTGAAATCCTTTTACTTAGTTAATTACTTACTTAAGTCTGTTAAACTTCATGGAGGAGGTTATGCCGACCACCAGCACTCACCATTCAAATCTGTCCTAGGCAGTGCCTGCAGTCCTTTCCAGTTACTATTTATTATTCTGATGTCTATTTTCGATTCCCGAGGCAATTTGTTCTTTGGTCTTCCTCTTTTCTTTTTTCCTGCAGGATTCCAAGTTAGTGATTGTCTCGTGATGAAGTTTGATGATTTCCTTAATATGTGTTCTGTCCACCTCCATAGTTTTTTCCTAATTTTGTCTTCAGTTGCAATTTGCTTTGTTCTCTCTTATAGTATGCTGTTGCTAATAGTATCCAGTCAATGGATATTCATTTTCTTATGCAGACAATTGTTTATAAATACTTGTACCTTTTTGATGATGATTTTAGTAGTTCTCCAAGTTTCAGTTTGATACAGTAGGAGTGTGTTGACGTTTGTTTTCAAGATTCTGACTTTGATACTGATTGAAAGTTTTTTTGAGTACTTTATATTTTTCAACTGTAGGAATGCTATCCTTCTTTTGTGAAATCCTTTTTACAGTAATAGAAAACATATATACTATCAACTCTTAGTAATATAAACTCTCGGAATTGATTGTTAAGCTCAATAAAGCTGATGAATACTTCAACTAAATGAAATATTCTAGGACATTTTAGTGACCGATGAATTCAATGAAAAAAGCCAATAAAAATTAATATGACCTGAATTATTCGGTTTAAAACACGTAATTTTAAATTACTTTTATTTGTTATAAGAACTGATTATATTATCAAGAAGGACAATGAAAGCTTCATAATTAAATAATTCAGGTTAGAAAACACAATATTATCAAAGTAATAAATTGTATCTTATTGAAATGATCTTTTAATTATGCGAACAATACGATTTCTTTTGATTGAGATCATGAACCGATTGATGTCAGACCACCTTTGGGAACCTGGAAGCACTGGATGGCCGTTTCGTCCTATTATGGTCGCGCGATTTCGTGGAATGGTTGATGTTAAACATTAACACCGTTGGATGCCTGCTCAGTGATCCAGTTGGTTAAGCGCCTGTCGCGAGACTGATTGGTTTTGGGTTCGGATCCCGCGAGCGGGATAGTGGATGCGCACTGCTGAGGAGTCCCATAATATGACTAAACGGCCATCCAGTGCTTTCAGGTTTTCAATAGTGGTCTGACATCAATCGGTTCATGATCTCAATCAAAACAATTAATAGTCTCCACAACCCTTATACTAGTAATAATACAAGTGATTAACTATTATTTTTAAAGTAATATTTTAGGTAGGCTATAATTTGTACTTACTATAAGGTTTAATTCTTTATACTACTGAAAACTATTTTGAATAATGAAATCGATGAATCATTATGAGTTGTTATGAAGGTGAGATGTTTAAGAGATCATTTTTAGAGGCATATATAAATACTCATAATTATCTTATCCGGAATCTACATGTTCGAATAAACACTATTTAAAAGAAGGTATTTACTTTCTGAATCCTATATTGAAATCAAAACAGTGATATAATCCCTACCTTGTTAATTGAGTAGGTTTTAATGATGAACTCATCTTTTAAGACTAGATACAACTGGTCAGTCCATTATTTGGAAAAATAGGTTATTAATCATCCTTTTATAGAATATTGTACTCACTTAAAGATTTGAAAGTTCTGAATCCATTGTATACAGTGATTTAAAAACTGGATCTATTAGATCCACTAACTACTAATATACTTTTTATCATTCCTTAGTTATTACTATTTGATTATTTACCGCTTGGCCATTTAACTGCTACATTTAGCTTGTTTACTCATGAATGGTATAATCCGTTCCCGTACGAAATATAGTAACAGAAGTTTGACTACTGTGTTCCGATATTCGGGATTGAAACTGAAGATAAAAGATGTACTTATAAGTAGATCAATAGAACTTAGGATTATCTCGTTCTCAAATCAAGGTTAATCTTACCAGTCGAAACTTGTGTTTTATCAAAGCTTAGAACTTAAGACTATAAATAAAATAGTACACGCGGAGTAGAGAATTCATAACTGGGGTTCTGATTGACAGATTTCCTTTAGATATTGATTATCGTCTCATTTAAAACAATATCAGTCATCAATTAACTAAAAGACGATTAAAGATAAGTATTAGATTACATATATTATTTCCAAGATATATGAAAAACCAACCAATATCATACTTTAAGTGAACTCAGATAACTTTGATCTGAATTTCAATTTATCTAGTTTAAGAAGAACGTATTGATTTGATTCAAAGAGCATTAGTCCATTATTTATATTTCCTTGTCCAATAAGCTATTAAAATTAATGTATTTCACTAATCGCTAACTTAAATAACTGTTATTCAACGATCATTAATAATAATAAAAACCTTTCGATATTTTGGATTGAGATCATGAACCGGTTGATGTTAGATCATCATTGGAAACCTGGAAGCACTGAACGGCCGTTTTGTTCTAGTATAGGATCCCTCAGCAATGCGCATCCACGATCCCACTCGCGGGATTCGAACCCAGAACCTGTCAGTCTCGCGCGCAAACGCTTAACGTCTAGACCACTGAGTCGGCATCCGACGGTATTAATGTTTGAGGTGTTAATGGTTGAGGTTAGACAAGGCTTCAATAAACTTGAGAATTGGTCCTTCGAAATTTCCATACAACGTTTTAAAAGCTGTATTCATGTCAGTTTCCCGCGTTTCAATTATATGTTTCGCTACCGATGAACATGGTTTTCTACCTTCCACGTTGATCGGATTATTTGACACTAATTAGTTTTGAAACTATCTAGGCACATGTTCAATGACCCTTGATTGCATTGTTCGATTTTCCCTCTCTATGTATGTGTGTTCACACAAACATGTAAATGGGTAAATACAGTTATCATTCCATCACATTGCATTTCACATAAATATTGACATTAGATTCATACATGTTAGCAATTCATAGCACATTCATTAAGCCACAATAATGATATCCTGTTTGTTTATTTGTTAAATAAAAAAAGTTGGACAATAAACTTCTAAACGTAACGAACGAGAATATAGGTGGGGACAAAATTATAGAATCCCTTGGTTAAATATAAGAACCATACATTAAATAACTCATTTACAAATTTCTATCATTTGTCTTTCACATCCTGTATAATTCGTCCTATTCACAATCCCTTTCCATTTCTATTTCTATTTTCTTCAAAACTTAATCCCCTAGTTTTCTGCTACCAAGGTTTTCACTTTAAATTAGTGTCACATACTACTTATGTAGACAGATATAAGTAACATACACCACATTTCTTTCTCTAAACAAGTTTTACGTCATTTCAGGAAGCAATAAAAATTGTAAATTGTTACATTTCATACGAGAAAAAAGACAATCGTTATTCCAAGTAGTTGACTTAATCTATTTTACGAGGGATTTATCATATTTATAATAAATTTATGCTTCAATTGAAAATACTTTCTAATTAGAAAGTGAGACTTTGGCTAGTAAATAAACATTGAATTTCAATAAAACTGCCTTTAAACACAATGTCTTTAAATGCTGAGACAAAAAGAGGTTATTATTATCAAACTCTACACAATTAAGAATAAAACTGAGTAGAACGTTTTGGTGGAGTTTTGTTCTCTGAGCTAGGGAGAACAAAACTCCATCAAAATCATCCACCTGAGCTATAAATCTTCTTCAGTATCTCAATTGAGTAGAATATTTTGGTTAGTCAATGGATGTTATCATATGTATATTGTCTCAACCGAAAAAAAACATGGTTCACATTCACTACTGACTTACTAGTTTAGTCATAAGACTTTATGTTTAAAATAAAACAATGAACTGATAACAAGGATAATAATTGTGAAATCAGATATTGAAAATAGATTAGACTGTTACGATATGTAATAGACGTCCATATTATAGCAAGTTGTAGTTTGCAGTTTTTCTAAACATTTCAATTGTATTCTGTAAGTTTTTTTAGGCAGAGATAGATGGTGAAATGCGAAACAAGCGGTTCGTCTTATTTGAGACTCGTCGTCTGGATGTACTAACAACCAATATAAAAAGGAATGTTTTTTTTCAGATTT